GCCACCCGGTGGACGGCGACAGCTCCTCCGGGTTCGGGCAGCCGGCAGGAGTCCCCCGTTCCCTGCTCCTCCCCATCATGGCGGATGGCAGCAGATGTCGCGCAATAGCATTTACTCCACCGGCCTCACTCTGTTCCCACGGCTATCGGCCCCCATAGACATAATAAATACCTAGACGCCTCGTTGGCCGCTTTGAGCCGTTGCTGCCATACGTCAACGCGTCCGCCATGTTTGTGAAGGCAAGACTGCCTTAAAAATAAATGGAGGTAAACGGAGGAGCTGCGTTTTTTTCTGGATAAAAACACGATAACGTTTACGTTTATCAACCGATTTCAGAGGTTTGTGATCTACATGGAGTTAACAATAACTCTGCCTCCAGTTATTTAGTTAGGTTTGGAAAATTATTAATTTTCGTAAGAAATTGTGAAAACTCACACTTGTCTCGCTTGTTGATTTGATTGATTTTTTCGGTTTACAATTCTAATGTTAATGTAGTATAACTGTGACATATACATGTTTTGTAATTTGATTACATTAATTACATTAAATGAAATTAAGTTGTTTCATTGCTTTCTCTGTCTTCAACCCCTACATTTTAGCTATCCTTGTGCTTCAGGTCAGAACACAGCTCATTCCCTTTGAAATACTGGAAGAAAATCAAAATAATACATCTTTAAGCACTAATAATTTACCATCATTGAGAAAATTGAATAAAACCAGCGAATACAAATCAAAAAGTGGCACTCTTGGTAGTCTGCTTTTTATTTTGATAGCACTGTATACAGATAAAATCCACAACAAACAATAACAAATGCAACTGATAATCCTTTATGGATCCAGTAAAACTTACAGTTACAGTGGTAAAATATTATGCACTGATACAGTGCACAGTAAAAGTGATATGTAATATTAAAAAGTATATGTAGTACAAGTTGTAGTAAAGTGAATAATATAAAAAGCGAGTACAACATTATATGATAGATTTATAATAGCATAAATATGTATAATACCAAAATAAATAAATGAATAGCAATAGATGAATAATAGCAAGTAGAATATGTAATAACAAGGGTGGAATAATACAGAATAGACAATAATGAAGAATAAAGTAATAGTAAATTATAAAGTAAAATAAATAATCATGAAATGTAGTTTTATAATAGTATTGTGTAATAATTATTAAACAAAGTAAGAAACAAGTAAGGGGGGCGGGGTGGTTTGAATATGACCAGGGTAATTCTGGCCATTCATTCAGGGCTATTCTGGGTTTTAACTAGTACTAATACAACATTAGGCTGTGGAAGTATAGCCTACTCTCTTGGAAATACAGAGAACAGGCTTTCTTCAGCTTTCCTTAA